CCCTGCGTGATCGAATCAGGAATGATGAGATCCGTAGAAGAACTAAAGTCACTGACATAGCCCATCGAATTGGCAAGCTGAAGTGGCAGTGGGCTGGGCACATCGCTCGTAGAACTGACGGCCGTTGGGGCAAGAAGGTTCTGGAGTGGAGACCACGTACCGGACGTCGAAAACCTGGACGACCTCCTACCAGGTGGATCGACGATCTGGTCAAGGTAGCAGGGAAACGCTGGATTCAACTAGCGAACGACCGCTCGTACTGGAAGTCTATGGGGGAGGCCTATGTCCAGCAGTGGACACCGAACGGCTGAATCGAGAAACATGTTTTATTTAAATCTTCTCACTTGTTGTTTCGAGAGATTGCAGCAGATATTTCTGGGTGTATATAATATAAATATAATATTTTGCGTTTTGAATCGTTGACTTTATTTAGACGTTATATACAACACATACTAAGAATGTCTAATTTAAAAATCATTTTCAAAAAGATACAATGACTTTGAAGATTAAAAAACGTCTTGATTCATAATATAATAAATAAATAAATTATAGTAAATACAAGATTGAATTAAATTTGTATATATATATTATATATCCCAACATATGTGAAAATACTGTAAGTTGTCTCGTGAGAAAATACTGGTCCTCCAAACAAATTCAATGCGAGTACTTCGAATCGCGGTATTTCACCGCTTTAGGCACTTTTCCTCAAAGAAAATGAATTTTATTATTTCGCACATAAAAGTCCTTTATAGCTCTTAGATAATATGAAAATTATAGTTTTACTGGTCTCTTAACGGCTCGTTTTATTGCGCGTAGCTACTGGAGATATCTAACAGATGTTCAGCGGAAATCGCTATGACATATAAGTTTTTAATTGACTTGAATACTAGTAATATATATTTATACTAATATATAAAGCTAAAGAACTTCTTTGCTTGCACGCGCTAATCTCGGGGACTACTGATTCGAAATGAAAAATTATTTTTGTGTTAGAGCGTTTATCGATAGGGTTATATATCGCGCCGTGACTAAGAGGAGCGAAGAAATAGCGGGAAATGTGGATAAAACGAAGAAAATTATTCATACTTCTGGATTCCAGTTGCACACGCTGAAAAAACGGTTCGTTTTAAGTGATCTCAGAAAATGTCCGCGATAGGATATGTCTATCCTTAAAGATTAACCTGCAAAAACGATGGGACTCGGACGATGTTATGGGTAACAGCTGAAGTTTATAGAGTTGAATAGGAGGTTTGCAAAAACAAAATTTTATTGCCCAATATATACTACGCAGACGAAGTCGCGAGCGCAGCTAGTATTTAAATAAAATACTAAAACGTTTGGCGCTTCGTTAGACTGGAATAAGTGTCATTTTTCTATTATATCTTTTTAAAAGCTCCTTTACAAACATTTTGTGACCATTAATTATTCATCTAAGGAAATTGCTTATCAATCTATTTATTTTTTTACGTATCCTTCTGATTTTAAGTTAAGTGTGCCTAGATAAGTTTAGTGAATTTATTTACGTTTTGTTTTGAAAATTTTCACTTTTTAATACTTGTTTCGCTAACCTGGTGTATCTTGTTTCCCGATAACTTTTTCTTTCACCCTGGTTTGCCTGGAAGAGAGAAAAAAGTGTTAATAGATAGAAGTAACAATCTCTTAGCAACTGTTCATGCTACATATCGTACAGAGGTAAGACACATTTTTAAACACATTTATTCCATAGGGACTTATGACTCTTGGCGGTACTCCAGGGTACTTTGTGTTTTCTATACTTATTTGAAACATAAGATGATCTTGTCATAAAAATTAATTATCTATGGAAATATTAAATCACTAGATACAAAAGAATATATATATAGATGAAGCAAAGTTTAGCTTAATTTTATTGAAGGTATCACTAAGAACTGACCGCCTTTATAGCACGTGAAATTCTGGTTTGAAACTTAGAGATACGGTATATAGTTTGAGTTACACAGATTAAATAGACACGCAAATGTGTTCGTCCCACGTCGCACCATAGAAAATGGGACATTTACCACGGATACTTTTTTAAGAATAATTGAAGATTTGTTAAAATTGAAATTACATTGCGCGAGAGGTGCATGTATCAATGGGTTAAATAAAATTGGCAATGACGGTAGTACAATTGTTTTTTTTTGTACGGAGCAAATAGTTTATGTCAGACTTAAACTGACTAAAACCCCACAGTAAAACCTCTGACACAGTTCAAATATCACAAAAAATCACAATAAAGCATTAAGGGGTGTATTTAGAACTCGCACGGGCTCAATTGGTAATAACAACAGCACGGGACGCTGTGGATGCCGGTTCAAATCTTGCGTGTGTCCAAAAACTTTTTCAATCTAAAATTTTTAATATACATATAATTATGTGAAAATATAAAAGTTTTCTAACGGTCATGGAACTTATTCATTAGATAACAATCATTAAGAAAATCGTACACTGAAATACAGACTTTCAACTCGCATTAATCAAACTGATGTAAGTGCGTAATTTTCACTAGATCCCGAAATAGGTTTTCTCCGTGAATGAAGAGGCCAGATTGCGTTCATCTTATCTAAATTCCTACGCTAAAGTAGAACAAATATTTGTACCAGTCCTCTTGTTTGTACGTGGTCTGGATCCAAACACATCTTAATATAGCGAGGTGCCCTCAGCGAACTTTCCCACGCTTTGAATAAGGTGATTTAATACGAATTAAGCCAGACTACAAATCAAATCATGCTTAATTAACAATTATACTATTATATTATTTACTAACAACGCTTTAAAACGCCATTTATATTACTTAATTTATTTCAATTTACATTAACTATGACCCGACGTTCCGCCTGCTTTGCAGCAGCTGGGATTACGTCAGTTAAGTAATTCATTCGCGATGGATATCCTAATATCCTTTTCCATTCCCGTAAGCTACAGACAATACTTGTTTAGTGTTTTCCATAAGTTCTAATTTCAGTCAAAATAAGATTAGAAAGGTTATCAAGTAGCTCCCCGTAAATAAAATCTTCATGTATTGATTGACAAGCGAAGTACAAATTATCTTACTGAAAAGTAACAGTAGTTTCTGAGATTACCGAGTTCAAACAAACTAGCTGTTTACCTTTATAATATTAGCAATATTTATAGTTATATTTATTTAGTAGTATTTTAGATAAATATATTAATGTTTTATGCGGGCAGAATTTAAATCCACGACTAGCGGCGTCAGCTGAACTACCGTCATATTGTTTAAATAATCATCGAATCGCTTTAAAACCTTCTCCGCACTAAAACACTTTGGCCACACAAAGGACTCCATTAAAAGGCACGGGTTTTCAAACAACGCGCAGAAGTTACTTTCTCTTCATTCTATTTTGCATGTCATCGTAAATTTAGGAAACTATACGGATCCTTTGATCCTTGTTAATGCATCATATGATTTGACAAAATTTTATTTTAAAGACTTCAAACTAGAGATAGTTTACGCGAGGACGTATTTAATCAAAACATTTAACGGTTTTAAACGCGACATGTATATTAAATCAGTTTAATATTGTTATTTAGAATGTAATTGAATTACGACGATTCGGGTGCTTTACAGCAGCCGTGGTCACAGTGGAACAATCATTTAATTACTGGATTCGAATTAATGATGATAAATTACTGAAACATAGTATGTAATTATCATTACAATAAAAGTGATTTTTGTCAAAATTATGTTATGTTATTTTTAGGCAATATCTATTATTACTAATACAATGTGCAAAAACTTACATTAATAATTACTTTATAACAATAAAATAACTTAAGTACTAAACTAGCCATATGGCACATAAGTTTCAGCAGTGATTGAAGTTTAGTCGTAAAAGGAAATTCAATTATTCTCAGAAAAATAATTTCGAAATTAAATTTTAAGTCTAACCTTTCAGATAAGATGACGTCTTAAAACAGAAAATGATTTATTTACTTGTGTTTATTGTTTTGACGAGTAAGTTTTTATAACTTCAACAATCGAAATAGGAAAGATAGTTTTTACTTAAATATTGTCTTTAGTTTATGCGTTTAGTTTAAAACACCGGTTAATTTACCGGTTTAGCGTGGAACAAGTGTTCGATAGATCTTTCCCAGCAGTGGGAAAAATATACTCTTAATAATCTTTATAGATTACAAAATGACTGATGATGTAAATGATTGATGATAACAAACATGAAAAATATACTCTATATTTTTCTTGTTATAAGATAATACATAGAATAATACCTCATGGGTTAATATAATGACATGAGTGATTTAAATAAGACACTTTTAACTGTTTTCACGAAATAAATTAACGAATGTATCATGTTTTGAACCGTCAAAAGTGCTTAATTTAAATTAATGATTTTGTGAGTTATGCTCTTTTCTACTCCCACCGGATTCCTACGTTATTGTCGTGTAATTAACTCTAATATATAAAGCGGCAGATACCGTAACTTTGTAACAACATTACAAACCTCGAAAATTACTTTCGAGATTAATTATTAATTTAAACTGCGATTTACCTTCTTGTACGGAAATGAGTTCGTAATATTTGTAATATAATTGTCATGTAAATTGCTTTTTTTCTGTACCAATATATTTAGTTCGTTAGGAGGTTATTCCAATACAAGTCTAAGTTCAAACAAATTATCAGTTGCCCCATTATTTGGCATTAATGCTACAATTTAATTTTGTAGACGAACACACTTCTTGACAATTTCTGTAACTTACAATACTTTCCCCTTATTGTATACTTTTGTTTCTGGGGATTCAAACACATGACCTCCTGCGCCTAACAAACTTAGGTGCTGGGTACTAGTCCTGTTTCTGAGTTAAATCATATCTTTGTTTCAGCATTTCACACAATTAACGGAAAGAAATGTGAAATAATATGCCCAGACGAAGGAGAAAGTATGATCTGCACATTTGATATACACAATAAAATCTATAAAATGTTTTCAAACGAGTGTGCTATGGCAGGATATGCGCAGTGTCATCAAATTGGTGAGTTTACGTTTATAAGATACTAGATATGGAATAGGTTATTTCAGTCATCAGCTTACTTGTTAAGGCTTTAATAAATTATAAGTTTTGAAAAGAACCTCCCAGTTTTAACTTAAAGTTACACAAGACAACTGTTCCCCCATAGTATACATTTATCTTTTAAAACTAACTCGTAAGAACGACCGGGGACGACGTCATGGTTAACGGCTATAATTTGTAAAGCTGAGGAGGTTGGTTGCAAAAATAAATATGAAGATTAACATATCTATTCCACGCAGACGAAGTCGCGGGCAGATAGTGTAATATAGATATCTACCAATAACATTTTTACCGAATATATATTTTTGTAATGTATCATGAGCCCTATTTTCAAGTGAAAGTTTTCAAAAGAGTTCTTTTAAATTAAACACTTTAACGGTTTAAAACGCGATATATTAGATAAACTCGTGGTGACCACGGCTACTGATCCGAAACGTCGCGCCGAAGTTAAAAATCATTTTCTAATAAGTTTAACTAATATATCGCGTTTTAAACCGTTAAAGTGTTTTATTTAAATGTGTACTACTCGCGTAAACTATACACAGACAATAGTTCTTTTGTACACAAGTTTTTTGCTTAATATCCGTAGACAAAATACTTGGAAACCAGAGCGGAGTTAAGTTTAAGCCGTGTTTTCTGCTATTTTCCATTTGAATACCTCTTCTCTTGCGATGTCTTCAGAAATATTCAGAAAGTTAAGTGGATGTAATCCAATAAGCTGATTTATTTCCCTCGCTTTGTTACTTAAGAAGTGGAATAACGGTAACAATTAAGGCGACGCCATTTCATTGATAACAATAATATTATTCCAACAAATTTAATGTATATATTATGTATCAATGATCTATACTAATATATAAAGTTGAAAAGTTTGTTTGTATGTTTGAACACGCTAATCTCAGGAACTACGGATTAGAATTAAAAAAAATATTTTCCTATGTTGGTTAAAGCATTTATCGAGGATGGTAATATGCTGTAAAACATCGCCCTGTGACTAATACAAGAATATAGCGAGAAATGTAAAAAATAATGAAAATGTAACTGTTCAAGATACCCAAAAAATATGTAGGAAAGAATCATTCTTCTTTGAACGACCTAAGAAAATGTCTGAGATAGTATATGTCTATAATTCAAGATTAACTTGAAAGAACGACGAGACGCGGACGACGTCGTGGGTAACAGCTTGAATTAATAAAGATGGAGGAGAGGAGGCAAGAACAAATTTTAGTGCCCATAATAACTATCCCGCCCGGACGAAGTCGCGGCCACAGCTAGTCTGTAATAATATATAAGGAGCCACAGAATATCAGTTTTGGGATACCCCAACAATGCTGTGTGTATTTCTTTTCAGAGGCATCTATTTTATTATATATTATCTGTATTTAGATATATAATATTTTATTTGTAATTTTTGTATTATGTTTGTATTGTTAGTTTATTATTGTAAATCTGGTGTTGTTTCTAAATATACGAATTATATTTCTAAAATAATATCTATATATATCAATAGTAAAAGGGCCGTATCGGAGTCGACAATTACTTGTGATAGGTGTGAAAATTACTAAGATTAAAGAAATTGTTTGCCGAAAATAAAAGTATATATTATATTATTATATATTTCTTACCAAAATGTGTGAAAAAATGTTACCTGAAAATGCTAATATTGGGATAGATATTACATTGGATTCTTTTATGACAAAGCAAGACAGACAAGTACGAAGATCACACGATGCAACATTAACCTTAGATGCGCTGTTTTGACAATCAGAGGAATTTGTTTTCAGATTTCGTCAAAACTCCTGTAAGATTTTGCATCAAGGAACAGTTCATGAACGCTAGACGAATGTACGGAGAGTCCTGTCCAGTTTTCTGCCCAAGCCATTACAGCCCAGTCTGTGGCGCGTCCAAATACAGAAGCTATAATTACAGGACGTTTAACAACGGCTGTTATCTGGATATGATTAATTGCAGAGGAGATGACGATTACGCAGGTACTGTCGGATGTCAAATTAAATCGATCAATTAATCATTATTGTGGTACAGTTGCGACAGCCTCGTTAGTCTCATAGTAGCAATGCAACACGGGCCGTGAGGTCGACTCCTACGCGTGCAAATCTAAAATAATATTTTTCTCAAATATTTACACTTCATCTGTAGACACTGTCTATAATATCGTTGGTATAAAATGATGGTAAGCAGTAACCAACGAACGAGACATAAGTTTGATTTTCACCGCGTCTAAATATTTTTATTAAAAAAAAAACACGTTAGACACCGGTTGAAAAATCCTTGATCTTGACTGATGGGTCGCGAACCACCGTCCAGAGTCTATGTAAAAAAAATAAAGTCAGTATTTCTCAATACAAAGGCTGTCATTCAGAGGGTTGAGGGGTGAGGCTTTTGTGTAGTATTATTATATTATATCGATAAAATACTGCGTACGCGGATCAGTTATCGGCAATCTGATACCTAACACTGTGTGAATTTTTTTAAGTACATCATATCATGGCTTGCTGTACAAAAAATAAATTGTTGTACATATTCAAAGGTGTTTTTGTGGATTTTGTATAATTTTAATGTGGCGCAATAATTAAGGAGAGAGGTGAGATTTATTTATTTCGTCTTAGTTCTCTTTCCCCTATGTACATAAAGCAAAGCAATAGTAATTACGGTTTAAAAGCTCCTTTAGAACAGATTATGCATTTTTAAATTTTCTTTTATCTATTTTATATCTAATTTCATAGCAATGTTGTTCTTGCTTTTAATATAAATACATAATCGTCATATAAATTATATTAAGTTTTAGTTATGTATTTAGTTGGTAAGCCTCTTAAATAAATAAATTTAATCGACTTATAAAATTGAAGTTCTTAATTGTATTTGTATATCTTTCTTGGATAAACACCAGTTTCTAATATCCAAGCAAAAATAGGCCATCAGCGCATCTTCTCATATATGGCTGGGGTATTTAACCTTCCATGGAGTGAACCCATGCTTGACTTTTCTCCTCTATGATAAAGTGTGGTTTTTTATCACTGTTGACCGAGTTTTTTATAAACAAACTTGAGGCTCACATATGACCTATTTTGGATTTAGACATTCAATCATTCTTGTCAAACACACATTCTTAGTATGAGTTTTATCATTACGTCCGGGATAGATTGATCATTTGCAGATGTCTAACCTTCGATTTCTCTTTTCAGGGTACGTCGAGGTCCCGTTGACCTTCTGCCAGCGACATCTCATGAAGAATATCTTTAAGGAAAAGCTGATTATATCCAATATTTACGATTATAGAGACTACGATTAAATACATTAATATTGTAGCGAATACCGTATTTTTTATTTTTAAGTAACTAGTTAAATTATATATTGTACTAGCTGCTAAGCATCCTAAACGTCGTAATTATAATAAATTAATAACGGTTTTAAAAGCGAAATATTCGCTTTTAAAACCGTTCAATCTGTTAAAATAGTTGTATAACTGATATTAATTAAATGTCAGGTAAAATAATATGTATTTGCAATATCAATCCCTTTCCACTTGAATAGTCCGAGCTCAAACATAATTAATTTTAAAACAAAAGCAGTCACTTCATTACAGCACGGTGTGATAAACAAGTACTGAGGGCGCTCGTGTAAATGGTATCACAATAATATTGATTTTATTTATTATCATCAGAAAATACTGGTCAATGCAACCTAAATAAACTTGAAATGAATTAAAAACGATTTTGGATTGAAATAAAAAATTAAGACACGGGCGTCCTGCCCGTTGAACGTAGGACACGGTAGCTCAATTGTTTAGAGCAACAGCACGGAACGCTGTGGATCAACCGATTTGTAATTTATATATATTGTCAATATGTAATAACATGTAAATAGTATAAAATTTTTGATTAAATTAACTTTTTATGATACAGGAACATGAATAAGCATGGAGTACGCTGGATAGAAGGTGACTGAATGACGTCTACAGCTGTAATTTCATTATCAATGATTTTCAAGCTATAAAGTATAAGACAATAAACCTCAATACGTATAATTAAGGTGGAATTTACATTACGCGAGTGGCACATGTATAAATGGGTTGAAGAAATTTAACGATGACGTGTAGGACACGATAGCTCAAGTGGATAGAGCAACACAGAACGCTGTGGATGCCGGCTCCAGTCCCGCCAGTGTCGTCAGATTTCGCCAATCTTAATAGATATTTAATTCGTATCGATTTCTCTTTAAATATTAATGTCGTCAGACAACTGACAAAGGTCTGGACGCTTCACAAAGCCGGATGCGACTCACCCCAACTATTTCATCCTCGTTTAGGTCTTTGACACATGGTCGAACAGACAACTGCTACTGTGTTTGAGCTCTTGTTCACATCTCTAGTTCAATGTGAATTCATTCCTCCTGACGAACACAATTCTGTGTCCGTTTCACTAGTTGATTTCATTTACGACATTCAAACGTATGTGTCCTGCTCTAGTGTAACTACATTTCTTTCGATCTGAACCTAGGACCTGTTGTGTTTACACACTACTAGATATAACACTTAACTTAATACTTAAAATGTAATGTAAACTTTAATTAAGTACAAAATTATGTCCATTTTTCTTACAGCTACGTTTAAACATATAATTAAAAATGTAATCTATCGCTGTCTGTACATAAAAAATAATATAGCAGAACTTTATTAAATCAATAGTATCAAAACAATGATTATTTGTCTGTTTGCCTGTGCGTGTTCGTACACGCTAGTAATGAAACATCTGATATTCATGTGGTTTTCTGTAAAATGTTATTGTACGTTTTAATCTACACCAACTTTTCAACGTATTTAATAATGCCGCGTAGTATCTTTTTCACGCAAACAATTGTATAATCGAAAATCTTACTTCTTACTTTAAAATCTATAACTCTTTAAGGTTAACTTGCTAGAACGAACGAAGGTTTGCAAAAACCAATTTGGATGCCCAAAAGAAATATTCTACGCGGACGAAGTCGCAGACACAGTTAGTTATTTTGTAAATATATTCCTTTTCAATCTATTTACACTCAATAACAAATTGGGCCTTCAGTTTGTTTTTTAAAACATTTCCTCGGAACATGTAAATGAATAAGTTTTAAAAGCACTCATTCGTTTTGCCCGATTAATTACAGTGTATTAATGTGTAATTGTTCGCCAGTAGTTTTAATATCCATGTTTAAAACAATCCTCGTGAATTCGATACGAAACCATAAAAAAAGATACAAATTAAATGAAACCGGAGTGTACTTTCAACTTCCTTTATATAAATCGGTATAATGAAACAAAATGGCAGATTGATTTTGAAGTGATCAAATATCAAAATGGGAAACAATAGAACATCGATGTACTTCTTGATGTTTTTTACAATTATATATTTGAACGCCTTGATTGATATTTATGAAATTTTATATGCATACTAGCTAACCCGGCAAACGTTGTTTTGCCATATTAATAATTTATAACTAATTAAACGACGATTGATCAATTTTCGACCGGAGAGGAAAAATGATTAAGAAAAAAAAAAAAAAAAAAGGGGGAAAAAAAAAAAAAAAAAAAAAAAAAAAATTTTAAAAAAAAAAAAAAAAAAAAGGGTGGAACCCAAATGGGGGATGAAAAATAGATGTTGTCCGATTCTCATAGATACCGGATAAGCACAAAAAAATCATCAAAATCGGTCAAGCCGTTTCGGAGGTGTAATGGCAACGAAAACTGTGACACGAGAATTTTATATATTAGATTGATTAGGTCTAAGATTAGGTTACTATCTATTTTTCATACCCCTAACTGATAAGGGCTGCTGCAAAGAAACCAAACATCCGAAACATCGGGCCGAATTTAAAATAATTTTCAAATTAACTAATACTAATCGCGTTTTAAACCGTTAAAGTGTTCAATTTAAATGAAAGGGTTCCACCCCTAAGTCTTTCTTTATTAATATTATTTATTTAATAATGCTGCGTTAAAAATACACACAACACAAATTTTTCTTTTTAGTATTGTTTTCATTTTCATCTCGGTCTATCAAGAGAAGCCTAAATTTTAGCCTTCTTTCCAATTTATTAATAGTATTAGTAGATATTGTTGGACCCGGTGGGGATCGAACTCGCCTCCGTCGATTATTAGTCACCGATTGCTACCATTAGAGCAATAACCTCGTCAACAGATAAAGAAGTGGTAAATAAGAACCAAGCAATATTAAAGTGTTACCAATACGAAACTAATCGTACAATTCGATACAGAGGAATTCAATTAGATATCTTAACTACTTCAAGTTGTACATGACTGGAAATGTAATTGCTACAGATTATGTCGCTCTCGAGTTTTATTAACTATTATCAATTTCTACAATACCGAATATGTAAGACTTAACTTATTGATGGAAAAAATTTTCATGTTATGCTTCATCTAAAACTGTAGTAAGAATATCACTATTCCATCTGGGTTTATTTACAAATACAAATACAAATACAAATTCTTTATCACCAAAACTGTGTACAATCATTACAGGGTGTGCTAGCCCCCCCTAGTTCCCTGTGTCGTGGGCGGTGACTCTTCCGGTGCATTTCGAGAAAAACAATGAAAAACTTAGTATCTACTATGTACTTATAAAGTTATTACTAGTATTTAAATAAAAAAAATAAACTTAAAAATATGGATAACATTTTGTCATGCAATTACCTTAATCAGTTTTCTGTTTGAGTATAATTAATTTTAGAAGAAACATTTAATTTTATTTAATTGGGAAGAATAGAAGTAAGTGGGGTAATTATATTTTTATTAATGAAGTTAGAAGGGACCTTTAAAGTAAAATCTTGGGCAAAAGAGGTTTTTGAGCGTTCGGTTGGATTTTCGTTTGTTAAAGATGTCGGGTTTTAGATTGTGATGGCGTTTTGAGTTGGGACGACAAGTTATATAATATACAGTGCTGACCGTCAGGAGATTACATTTTTTATAATTCTGAAGTTGGATGCCGAAACGGTTTTCTAAGGGAAATTTTTAGGAAGCACGCTGTGCCCGTTCTATTTTGAGCAAGACCTGTTACCGACCGCCCCAGTGGAAATGCAATAAGATAAACAGATTGGCATAAAGTAATAGACTGTCCTTTTCTCTGCCGCCTTACGAGGCGTTTAAAGGCGCTTGAAAGTTTTCGGACACGAGAGCACAGATAACTAATGTAGGACCCCAAGAAAGCCTCGAGTCTACCATTACCCCGAGGTATTTAATAGAATCAGTCGATTTATGGTTGGACATTGGCAGGTCGAGAAGGGGTTATGACAAGAATGGAGTTTAATAGGGGGATTGGTTTTGGGGCAGTGCCTTAGAGATGTTAAAACAAATGTATTTAGTTTTTGTTGTATTAAGCGAAAGAAGATTATTGGTGAGCCATTGAGAAATACGGCTGAGACCCGTTTGGGCAACGAGGGCGGCTTGTTCCCAGGAACGTGAATAAAAGATAATGCCGTGTCGTCAGAGAGAATAACTTGGCATTAGAAAGCTTCATTGTACATAAGTCGTTAATATAGATTAGAAATAGAGAACTGCTTATTGCACTACCCTGTGGCAAGCCGTAGGAGACTACTTTTTCCAGGCTTTTTAAACTATCTATTCTGACTATTTGTTTTCTGTTGGATAGGTAAGATCGGAACCAGTTTAAGAAGATCGGAACCAGTTTAAGAGGATCGGAACCAGTTTAAGATTTACATGAGGAAAAACCGTAAAATTTATTTGTTTTCGATTTCAGCCTGTAGATTTCTAACTTCATAAAGATGTGATAAAATAAGTTATGTTTAAGTGTCGTCTGTATTTTACGCGAGTAGTGCATATTTAATTAAAACACTTATAATATACACGAGGTAACAAGTTTTAATCTATTTAAAATACGATGTTTTGGAGGCACCGCCTCTTAAGTCTATAAATTTGCATACGAGTATTTTGCTTAAACTACTTCTATAGTTATAGTTCGCGAGTAGTACACATTTAAATAAAACACTTTAACGGTTTAAAACGCGATATATTAGTTAAACTTATTTGAAAATGATTTTTAACTTCGGCCCGACGTTTCGGATGCTTTGCAGCAGCCGTGGTCACGGGGGAGTCTCCCCTGGTCACGGGGAGTCTCCCGTGACCACGGCTGCTGGGCTTAACTAATATATCGCGTTTTAAACCGATAAAGTGTTTTATTTAAAAGTAGTTTGCTTGTCTGTCTGTTAAAAGTGTTTTATTTAAACTCTATGCTCATACGTCTGTTAAACAAAGAGTAAGTTAAATTCTATGTTTGCCTG